CGGTATATACATAGAGTATAGTTTATAACGGTGTGCATATGTATATATAGGTATATAAATAAAGCGGTGGTGGCGTTGGTACTCAGGGCTATTGTTGCAGCTCGCAAAATATGAAAACGGGCTTAGAGATTTTGGCTTGGCAAGGCGTGGGCGCGCGGATTGTTCCCGAATGTTTATGCACCAAAGAGGGAGATAGACCCCCTCGTGCGCGCGAGCTCGCACACAACTCTCTCGTAGTACAATGTGAACAATGCAGCAGCTATGTATATACATACAAAATATACATATATATATATATATATATATATTACGTGAGATATAGACTCGCTGCTGTGTACGGCATTGCGGTGGCGCCCGTGAGAGCGAGAGAAGCCGAAAGTGAGTTTGCAGCGCTACGCAGGGCTTTAGACTTGGGAATATACAATTACATTATGAACTCGATTACCATTTAAATGGAAACAAACGTGAGGCGCTAAAACATGATAGGATTTCGTGCCAACTCGGCAGCTTTGCTCTTCCGGATTGGCAGAAATGCCGTATTTTTTCAAATTATTCGATACTTTCGTCTTGATGGTGATTATTTGCACTAATAATGAGCTGCAGCCTTTTCTTTCTACTAACCAATTTCCTATCAATTATTTAGCTGCTTGGCCTACTGGAAAAACGTCATTTCAATTATCTCTAAGCACAATTCTATTAACAATCGATTTTATTATTATTGGATTATTTTTTCAACTTCCATAGAATGAAACGTTCAAAAAAAGTGTTCTATTGACTAATCCCACGTAACATATGGAAGGAAAAAACTATAATATTTTATGCCATTCAAATAATCGAGTTACTCATTTGGGTAATTTGTTCAATGAGGGGATAAGTTACCACATTTATTAATAGTCATTGTCAGGACTATAATTTTAGACAATTTTTCAGATCAAATATCAAGTATTATTATATTTAGTAATTGACACCGTCAAAACAGATTGATCCCGTACCAAATTTTTGAATCGAATTTCACGAAAGTACTATTACAGAAAGCTAAATAGTGCCATTTGCACAAAATGCACTTTTCACGAAAATTTTAAAATAGTTCCACCAAAATAAAAGTTAATATAAATCCGTGTTTCATTGACATCTTTAGCTTTAGCCAGTTTACGGTTTAATGCACGGTCTAAAAAATAGAAATTAATAATTGGCACATCGTCACCTTCTCCATGCAATGAGCTACAATGAGCCTAGCAAAGCAAATTTTATTGCACAAAACTAGCCGTAATAATTATTTGTATCTTTTCCACGTGACCGATAATAAATATAACCTGCATGTACTTATTTTGATACGATTATTTTTGGGTTGTTCATGATAACTCCAATGGTGTTGTTTAATGAGATGGTAAAAAAGTAATAATCATTGAGTATATGCTTGTCATGTATTAGTATTGGGATGAATGAAAATATAAATACAATTTATTCATATGACAATTGATACATTTCGTGAAGTAAAATTTTCGTGAAATTCGATTTTCTTGAAAGTCGATTTGTGAATAGTGCATTCGTGAAGTTCGATTTATGAATTCGGTCGGGTACCGCTATCGGGTCCAAACAGATTATCGCGGTCAAATTATATAAATAAGAAATATTTTCGTCACAAAAGTACTTGAAGTCTCGACGGGTGACTAGATTCAGACGCGATTGTGTCAATGACTTGAGCTGACAAAATGTCTAGTTAGTTCTATGTACTCTTTGCTATTTATATGCATAGCCTAATAAAAAATGCATCGCATTATAATCGATTCGTTACACTTCCGAGTTCATGCATTTAACTAGATATCACGCACCACCTGTCGCCTTAAATATCTCGGACTCGTTTCGGCTCACCCTTCGCCAATCGCCTCTATAAGTACACATGCTCAAATTCTGTAATAGACGCCGGCTGCCAAAGTCATTATTCCGAATCACAGTCACGAGTCTTTTCAGCGCCTGAGTTTACAACGAATCAGAGCGTGGAATGCGCGACCCCAATTGATTGTGTATAAAGTTCATTTGACTCGTAATCTTGCTTCTATTGTATCAACTTTTTTTTGATAAATGAAAATTTATTATAAACACATGAAGTCGACCTAAAAATCAGTTGATTTTCTCAAGTTTTTGCAAGCGTATCATAATATGCACATAAAATTGAATTGAATTAACCCGTCAACGCCCAGACGGACAGACTTTTTTTCTCAATTGCAGTCTGTAATTAAATCATCTTATCGGAACCAGAAAAATTCTTGAGTACCTATTTTCTATGTAAAATTTAATGTACTTTTCGAATATGAGTTTATAATTAACATCTGATAAATATTAAAAAAGTTATAAACAATTTACTGCGAAAAAACGCGATTTTGAATCCTGATAAAAAACTTTGATTCAAATTTTTTTAATGAAAGAGACTTAAACTGTGCCAATAATACTCAAAACTGTGGAATAATAACATAAAATTTAAAGTACCGTAGGTAGGTTTTAAATATTAAAAATGGTAGACTCCAAAAAATACACTTTTCCAAAAAAAATTACCAACATGTTCCAAAAAATGTACTTTTTTATTCGAAAACGATCAATATGAGAAAAAAAAGTTATTGAATATTCAAATTCCAACTACGGTACTTTAAACTTTAGGTTACTATTTCACAATTTTGAGTATTATTGGCCACAGTCTAAGTCTCTTTCATAAAAAAAATTTGAATCAGTTTTTTTTTCAGGATTCAAAACCCCTTTTTTCGCAGTAAATTGTTTATAACTTTTTTAATATTTACCAGATGTTAATTATAAACCCATATTCAAAAAGTACATTAAATTTTACATAGAAAATGGGTACTCAAGAATTTTACTCGCTCCGATCAGATGATTTAATTGCAGACTACAATAGATAAAAAAGTTCTGTCCGTCTGGGCGTTAAAGGGTTAAATTGAATTTCGTCAACTCGAGTTTTTCATTTTAAATTTAACTTATTTTTATATTGAATTGATTTTTATTTCAGGAAAAAAGAATCGAATGAGAATCGTTTACACGAATAATCATAATTTACCCATCCAGAAAAGTTCGAAATAAAATAACTTTTTTAAATGACTTTTCCAGTAATATTTACCGAATGAAAATTCAATAAAGTACATACGGAGCCGTAGAAATGTCAAGCTTTTCTTGGCAGGTATCTTAGTTTTTTTTATAACATTTCTATATTTTAAAATGATGATAGTTGCAATTGGTTAAATAGTTTATGATTTCAACAGTCTGCCCATCAATATTTGCTTTTCCTAATTTTTTTCAAAATAAAAAATAAAAACGAATTTTGGTGCACCCTTCGAGGGCGTGTATTTGGGGACCTAGCTCCTTTTATAAACACAAATATATATACGTTATATATTTTATCCCATACAAAAGTGACAGTATGGCAATATTTCATCGTTTGCAGTGGGTCGATGTGTTGTTTACACATTTACTGCTTTTCACAATCGTATTACACTACATTTTTACTGGTAGGTAAAAATAACATAACTTTCCTTCACGCGAAAGACATTGATTTACTTACTATAAACCCAATTTTACTACCTACATTTATAAATTGACTGATGACAATGATTAGACCAATTTTATTTTAAAATCGAGTTCAAATTTGAGTTATAAATGCAAAAATCGTTGATAAGGTCTATGAAACAAAATATATTACGCATTTTCTTATATTAACCTTCTAAATAACAATAGATATTTCACTACTGCGAAAAATTACACATTTTGTGTCCGTTTATGTATGCGCATATACGTTATACGCATAGAACATATTTAAATGGTAATATCGGCCTTTATAGCGAGCATCCGTACGTCATGTCCATGCAGTGGTACACCACCACATCACATTGGGCGTTTGAGGCTCAAGTCCTGTATGATAGCATATAGGGATGAAGTCAGGGCAAATATTAGTAATATCATACCCTTGAAGGTGTGGTTCTGGAGCTACGTGCACGTTATTGTCAGTATTTGCGCATTATATAGAGCAGAATCGAGTTCGAGGTGAAAAAAAAGATGAATACACGTTCGTTTTATGTGTGACACTCGTTCATAAACGCATGAATCCATAAAAATAAAATAAGGAAGGGAGAAAAAGGTTTTTGTATGCTGGATATTTCAAAATTATCTGAAAATGTATTCAAAGTTTAGGGTCATTCAGAATTACCAGATAGAAAACTTTACTTAGTTATCTTCGGATAATGTTAACGTAAAAAAAATCAATATTTTTCTAAATATATTTGCTATATATATTTATTTCACTAAACCGTGTAAAAGTTCCTTGAAAACTTTTGAAAATGTAGAGCTCATTGATCATGATTATTCGAATGTTTGTTTTTACTTGTTCTTAGCTCCTATTAGATGAATGAAAAGAGAGAAATATAAAGCAGTCAAAAAAGTTGGTAATAAGTGATGTGATAAAGTGAGTATTTTATAGGTGTCACGAACATCGAAGGGTGAAAAAAGTAAAAAAATAAGTATTTCTTTAGCGATTTTATAAATCGCAGCGCAACTGGGACTATTTTAACGAATCGTGCTCGACTAGTCATATGCTCGGAATCAGTGCACTTTCGAGTTGTCTTACGCAAGTTGATTGTTATTATTATTAACTTTAGATAATCCCTTGAGAAATATAGAGATAGAGAGAGAGAGTCGCGAGCGCGTGCGAGAAGATGACACGCGTAATCGCGTAATCTGAGGGCGCGTGTCAAAGTCCGGGTAGCAGAGGCTTTAACGCGGCACACGCGGACATAATATACACACACACACACACACACAGAAGACGCGTGCGTTTGCCGAATGCTCTGCAATGTGCAATGTGTCGTCGTTCTCTGCCTTACTGCGGATTCGTGTATTTGTGTGCGCCGCGTATGTGCGCGGGGGGGAACATGTGTGTACACACGTGGCGAAGGATCCTCCAAGCGCTCGCACACGTCTTGAGTCAACATCGATCACTGTATATACCACTAGGTCCTTGTTTATCGTACACATTCTACATGTTATAGGGTGCACGAGGTTTGCCGTGTATAAGCAAGCTCAAAGCGAGTAGCCCGCGATGTTGGCCCCCGAGACGCTTCCTCGCTTTCTCGACCTACGCCAATTCAACCTGTGTTGACTCACCTCTAAGCACCGCAATGTCCTTTTAACAGCGCACCTATACTCGGCTACTGATTACTTTTCGACCGACATTGCCAAGCCAAATTCATCGTCTTTTATTCCCCAAAAACTTGGATTCAGCCGTCAGATTTGAGGTTAGATGTTTACATTTTTTTTTGCTTTACGCCTGAATCAAACTTTGAGAGCGAAATAATAGACAGATCAAAGCCCATTCAAAGATAAACAAACGGATTCATTAGTTTGTCTTCATTTTAGATAAAATATAGCGAGGCAGCGTGCCACGAAACAGCACGATGAATCAATGCATTTTAATTAATTATCCGTGATTGGAAGCTTTGTCAAGAGCTTTTTTGCGATCATCGATGCCTAGCTCTTACCAAAGGTATAATTATAAACGTGTAGATTTCAGTTGACGAGGCAGTGCAACAGCAGAGACTTTTTGCTCTGATCCACGCAGCTTAGGCTCTAATCCAGTTTCCATGTAAAAGATGCCGGATGCACAGAGAAAAGGTTGCATCAGGCTTCGGCAAGATCGGTTCAAGTTGAGCCGGACGAGCTAGACCAGCAAAAATTTCCGTGGCTAATTCAAAGTTAAAAACCGATCTGTACGAAGCATTAATAAAATTCACTGGGCACGATTTCTTGCCTGCAGTTTCATTATGGGTAAGGGAGCCAAGTAACTAGTCGCAGCTAAATAGGATCGGGCCTGTGCATCGGTAGAGCGAGGAGCGACGATGCGGCTCCAGCCAATCCCTTATATTATTCTTGGCTTCGTGCGCGCGGTTGCGCCAACAAAATCGCCTTTAAACATATATTACAATACAATATAAATAAAACGAGGCATTTGCCGAAAGGAGCCCGTGCGATCCCACGCGTCGTCGGCAGCGGCACGAGCCGCACGAGCCGCTCCGCATGCAGTCGCGCACGTGTTCTCACACCGATCGTTGACGCATAAATTACTCGAGCCGTAATATTGGCCTCCACCGCATCTCGTGCGAGTAGGCGCGATTCGGCCACCCGCCGGCCTTATTATAGGTGCAATGCCGAGCAGTGCCTCGAAATCCGATGGCGTTCCGTGTGGCCCGCGTATGCCCTTCCGACTTTTCTTACGCGCGCCCAACGTACACTTGTGCATTGTGTTGCGCCGTTGCCGATAGAGGGTAATTTTCCTGCGCGCGAGCACACGCGCACTGCGACCTGATGGGATTAAGTACCAGTAATTAATGGCGAGCCAAGATTGATTTCGCATTTCTTTACGCATCGCATGCCACTGACGTACACGCGTGCATTCGCTTAACCGGATTACCAACACAAAATAAAACTCCTCAGGTGTTTTTTCACTCGTCCTACAGCTACCGTGATATAACTTTCATAATGTGCATAGCCTTTCATTTAGGGAGCATACATCCATTAAAGCTTAATATATAACAACAAGAAATAATTTCAATTCATTTTTTCTAATTTATATAAGCTGATTTTTACCAGAAATTCTGAACAAAAAATATACATTGAATTATAAGTTTACTTTTAATATGAATAAAAAATACATCAATTCCAATGTAGAATATTTTTTATGGCAACTTTACATCGGTTTTTTGCAGATATCAACATGTGTTCCTCAGGGCTCATAGTAAAATCCGTAAGAAATCCCTACTCGTTGCCTGACTTATCTCGGGAGGGCAAGTGGTTAGTCCATGGACATGAAATCGTTAAAGATGTTTGCCAAGAAGAGGAGCGCATCAACTCGAAGATCGAAACACACGAACGTCTGTTCGCGCATCAAACTTTGAGCACAGCTCGTAGAGACTGCCGCTACAGATCTGATAAGGTGGAGCATAAAATTTACATAGATTGATGTATTTTTCATTTAAATATTTTTTTTTACCATCTTATTGGCACGTTTGTTAAAAATTTCCAAACTGCATCTTAATTTAACAGGTTCCAAAAGATTCACTCGATTTTATGTTATCTTCGATTTATTACCACGACAAAGATTTATTTGTACCAAAAATGTACACGGCTATCCAACCAGAGTCGATTGATAAAGAGACTTGGCGTCAGTTGCGCAATCAAATAAAGGTAACAAATTTAATTTTTATTTCAAGTTACTTTAAAGCTAATTATTCATTTTTCTTGTCTATAACCTTTTTCGGTAACAGTAAAATTAAGAGTGTGAAATTATCAGGCAGAATTTTTAAGTTCTTATTATTAGTTATTTTGTTTGAATTCAAGAGGGATTATACTTATTAATTTACGTGCAATTTTTTTACCATTTTAAGATGGACGAGACAGATTAAATAGCAATTTTGTTTGTCCCTAACGCGAATTGATACTTGCACGAATGAAAAATTCTCATCTTTTGTGCTTGTAAATAAATTTGTAGTTAGTGCATAGAGCTCTGAAGCTCTGCTACGAGTTCGATGTAATACTTTATTGGGGCGTCGAGAATATCATTATAAGAAAAATTAATTTTATATACAATTTAATCTACCCCAACAGGTTTATTCAAAACCATCAGTTCCACTTGGCCACGAAATCAAATACGCTGAAATCGAATCAAAAAGAAGCTTAACTTCTGGAAAGTCTAGCGGATTAGAAGCTAGTGCAAGAAAGAGGATACATCCGAGCAGTCTTCAGTTAGCCATCGAAGGACCCCATACCGATCGAACTAATCCGGGTTACAGCAGGAAAATCGACGGAACCTATTATGGCATCTAAAACAAGAAAGAAACGACGCTGTTTTTCTGAATAAGAAAATGGTTCAAACTTACTTAACTTAATAGAATGTTTCAATCTAATTTCGAATATGAATTCGGGCCAATAAAAGAAATTATTATCGGAAAAATGTCCTAGTGTAAATTCTTACAATTTGAGCTTTTCAGGTCGATCCAGCGTCGTAACAAAAAGAATGTAGATTCGTAAGAGCGGAGTTGCGCAATTGAATCACGAAATATCCGAGCGTTCAGATGTTACGCGTCAAAACATGGCATATCCCTCGTGTGCGGCCAAACGTAACAGGCAAGAGGTAGGCGCTGAAGATGTTATCTCGATCTTGTTGACAAATTGGCTGGTGCAGTATTTATTTGCTCCGTCTTTATCTCGGTGCGAGTCTCTGATGTCGAGCCGGCTGCAGGATGGAAGGGTGCGTAGGCAAGCATCGATATCTCGTCTTTCCATTTTGTCCCCCCTCCCAAGCGCAAAAAACAGTTTTATCCATGCCAATGCAGAGTCGAAAGCGAATTACAGCGCGTGTAATCTGCTTTTCATCTTTCAGCATCCGTCGGATTACACCCCAGGGCGGATTGGCCGAAACTAATCAGTTTTCACACATTAGCAATCGGATTATAATGCAGAATGACGCTCGCTCCTCTGTGCAACTATCAGTAGTACATAATGAGTTGGATAAGTTACTCTTGCATTCCAATGACAAGGAAATTCGTAGGTTTTAGGAATTTTGGTTCGTTCTACCCTCGGAAAGGCATCGTTCATGGAACTATTAAGGATCGAATCAGGATCGCATGGAGCTCGAAGGTCCCTCGTAGCTGAAACATAGATACAAAATATTCAGCCTGTATATCATGTATACATACATTTATACATACAGGAAGGGTGCAAAATTCCCATTACGCGGGTAATCCTTGTTTGCAATAAAGTAGCAGCGAGAGCATCGCAGCTGAACGCCCCGTCATCATCGTCGTCGTGCATATGCTTGTGGAGAAATATCATCGCGCATACGTTTGTAGCACGTAAACTGGCTAAAGACGCGACTTGACCTCTCCCTCGATAGTTTTGCTTTCTCTCTGTATACGTAACAGGCAAGTGCGGATGCGTGTGCGTACACAATAGCAACTATGATTTTATCTCCATCCCCGATTCGAGCAACGCAGACGCTACTTTCTTCCGCCCGTCCAGCCGAGCTCCCTCGTATAGTTCGTAGCGCTGCTGTGCTGGATAGCTTCGTGTTGGCTATATCTGTATCGCACGAAGGAGCCCGGAGGAGCGAGCGCGAGGCTAATCCGCTCGTGATTGGCTCTGGGGAGACTCGTCCTCTTCTCTCCAGCTACTATACTATCTGCAGCCATGCTACACGTAGCTTATGTTTAAAGGCTACCCTGTGATACTGTCTACCTAACGTATATTACACATACAGACTCGCATCTACATATATTTTTCCCTCGAGCTCGCAATCGATATCCTAGTCGCAGGCCGTTTTTGGAACAAGTTCGGGCCTAATCTGCCGAGTGCAGCAAATAAATCGAGCAGGCCATTCAAATGTTCTTTACTACTTTTAGCCTTGCTCGACTCTCGAATTTAAATATATCGATGAAAATGCAATCATAATTGGGAAAAGGTGTTTTTACGCGATGGAAAAGAAGAAAATAATCAAACGGTAGAAAAGTATCGCGGGTTAGTATCGCAAACTCCGCTGAGATTGTCTCGCAGCAGGCGTAGCGAGGCGGCAATTCTTCGAGCGGATTACTCGCTACACAGTCTTGCAATTGGAGTAGATTGATTTCCTTGGCTGGCGCGCGCGGTCTAGCTCGCACGCGCTCGAGACGAGGGTGACGTTATAAAGAGAAAGAGAAAAGGTTGTAGTAGTAGCAGTCGTCGTCGTCGTCGTCTGAGCTTGCTTGGCCAGAGGTGTACGCGTGCAGCGGCAAAGTATAAGAAAAGGAATTGCCTCGGTTATATGCACACGCTGACAGAGTAAAGAAGAAAAGCTCTCGCTCGAGCCCAAAGACAATTACTTGGGCCAACGCTTTTATTTGTATTTAATTCTTATTTAATTTACTTTTTACGACGCGCCCAACTCTGAGCTGTTGCGTTAACGAAATGGTGAAGCAGCAAACCGTGGCGCTTGCGTCGACCGAATCATTTTTCGAGCTCGCCTCCGAGACCAGAAAAAGAGCGCAGAGTCAGTAGAGTGACGGAACCGACCGCGAAAGTGACTTTTTTTACAATTGAACTTCAATAGGATGGCGACGCGCAAACTAAGCCCGGAAAAATATTTCTTTCTTTGCCAACGTTCATCGGAACGAAGATAAATGAAAATTTTTTAGCCATAGCGCAACAATTGCTTTCTCACCAATAATTTCGATCCGTCCTTCTTTTACTCGCACCTCGAGGAAGATTACGAAAATATCTGCAATAATGTACGCTCGTGAAAAGAGAAAAAACTGTCGAGATGCGTTGCAATTAATTATTCTAATTAAACACCTCACCATGAAGATTTTTCCTCTTGATTTTGAAATTGAATCGTAATTTATGTGTATAGGAAATCCGGGCTTACTTGGAGCACGCGCGGAAGAGCCAACAGCCGCTGAGGCATTGCCACTAACACAGATTAGTCACGTACAGTCAGAATGGGACGAACAGGTGGAAATCATAATAAGCCCTGCAACCTCCTCTGTCTATAATCTCAACGTAGTAAAAACTTCTCGACGTATGAGTGTAGACGTTTGCATTTTGAAACAAGTTTGAAAGTGTTAGCAATAAGATACACTTCGCGTGCTAAACTGTATATGCGTGTCTGCACGATGTGTGGCGTGCGTGTGTGTGTGCCGCGTGTGATGTGTGTGCGAGGGGAGGGGACGCTGAGCGCGTTGCGTGACTGTGGTGTGTGAGGCGTCGAGCGCAGACTCAGGAGAGTCACTTGATTTTGGGCCGTCTGCGGCGAGGGTCGTGTGACCGAGATTGTACTCCATTTTTTACCTTTTCAACTAATAATAATTATTTTTAATCTCTTTAACTTTGCCTTCTGACTCATTCTCATCCTGACCATAACAAATCAGAAGTGGGATTTGCCAAAATTTTTTTTTGTGATTTTGTGTAAAGTACTTTGTGGTGAAGTGAAAATGTCGTCTCAAGAGGAATACGATAAATTGGTTTCAGAAAATGATCGTTTGAGGCAACAGCGCAATGAAGTGTTAGCAAATAATAAGCAGTTGGCGGCAGAATTGGAATCTATAAAATCTTCCCAGTCGGTAGAAAGCTATTTTCCTCAATTGATGACGGAGTTTTTAGAAAAACAGGTTCAAGTGCTTGGAATATTTCAGAATTCTCAACATAGTGCTCCAAGTGAAACAGTTTCTCTGTCATCGGCGCAAAGTTTAATTTTTGAGTTTTATGGTAACGAAGGACCTGAAAAAGCGCACGCGTGGATTACTGAGTTATCCAGTGTTAAAGATTTATATAATTGGAGCAACAGTACTGCTATTAATTTTGCAAAATCTCGACTGCGCGGCGGCGCGTGGAAGTGGTTAATGGCTAAACAGGACACAATTATAGTACTTTATGCAACGGGTACGGATATACTTTTTCAGCGAAACGAGGGGTTGCAGCACGAGCCGAAGGCGAGGGCTGTAACGAGTTTCGTTGGAAAAGCATATCCGTATCAGTTGCATACAATATTTTATGGTACAAAAGCCTAAAAGTAGCGGCGAAGTTGCGATTTTTAGGTTAGCGTGCCATAAATGATTTTACGGCATTTGTGACAACATTTAAAGCAGCTTTCACTCGACAACGAAGCCAGACTGAAAAAGTCAGAATAATGACAGCTAGAAAGCAAGAACAGCGTGAAAAAACCGAAGACTACGTTCTGGATAAAATTTGGCTCTGCAAAGATCTTCAAATGTCTGTGAAAGAGATACGAAATGAGATCGCCAGTGGATTGTGGTCTCGTGAATTAGCGCATCATATTTTGGCGATGAATTACGACTCAACTGATAATTTGCTACAGGATATAATCGAAACAGAAAAAATTCATATGGAAAGAAGGCAGCGTTTTTCTCAACGTCGATTTTCGAACGCAGGATATTCGTCGAATCGTGAGCGAGAGACACAGTTGGCGCTTGAATACAACGTATCTGCAAACGTTAAGAATTCCGAAAATTCGCAGAACGCAGCAGCGAGCAGCAACATCAGAGGCAGAACTTCGGAGCAGCAGCGTCGTGAAGCAGACAACAGCAGCAGCGGTGGCATTGTAGGTAAACAAACCGACGGGAGAGGTAACATAACTCCGAAAAATAAGAATTCCGGGAGCTGTTATAATTGTGGTACGGTAGGACACTATTCTCGTGATTGTAAGAATTCGAAACGCGAATTTTCTTGTTATACATGTGGTAAGCCGGGTCACGTAGCATCGAGATGTCATTCTAATAAAAATGCGAATAGAAACGATGTACAGATCGAAGAAATTTCGTTGATGAAAAACAATCAGAGTTCGAACGTTAGTATTCAAAAATTTATACGCGAGGTTGAGATTTCTGATCATAGATTGTTAGCGCAAATTGATATGGGTGCGTCGGTATGTACAATAAAAGCGTCTGTAGTCAGCAATGCTAAATTTGTAGTAAATAATGTGAAAACTTTGATTGAAGGTTTTGGACAGAATACGGTAGAATCAGTAGGTATGGTCGAAGAAATACTAAAATTCGATAAACTCAAGCCGCGTAAAATGATTTTTAAAATAGTGCCCGATGATGTTCAGACATATGATATTATTCTTGGTCGACCGTTTACTGAAGCTCCCGATCTGTGCTATGTACGCACTGGAGATTCTCTGGTATTTTCAGATGTTCCGAGTCAAAATGCTAAAACTAAAACTTTTAAAGCTACAGAAAAAACGATTCTCGAACCTGACCAAATTTGTCTCATTAATGTACGTGTTGATGATAAAGAAATGGCTGTACCAATTACGAATATGACTAATGTGCGTCAGATCATTAAGGAAAATGAGTGTGTCGGTGAACAAATTTTGACTGTAGAACAAGCTAAAAGCATTGAATGTAGAATGAACGAAATAGTCGCCG